AACTATTGTATTGTAAGTACTCAACTTTGCCTTTATGTTAGCTTCCTGCAATACCCTGAACAGCAGCACTCAGGCACGGAGGATCAGTACTAGAAGCCGATATACTGACAAGGAACCTGCTGACAGAAGGAGAGAGCAGAGTGAGCAGAGGCATGGCTCATCAGTGTGCTGTTGCTCCTTCATTGCCCAGTCACTTGCTGACAGTGAGAATAGGACCAGGCTGCATTGCCTAACTGCAAAGTCAGGTCGCCATCCTGGCTGGGCTGCTTGGTAGAGCTGTGTGAATCTCAGGACTGGATGGAGTTGATCACAAACCCTTTTTATGGGTCAGACACTTTTAGAATGTGTAATGCGCAGTGTTCTATATATACATTTGTTCTTTAATGCCGGCCACACCGCAATCTGATTGTGCAACCTCCTTTAGAACCCCTGTCTAGCACTAGGGCCTATCCCGCCATGTCCCCAGTAGAAAATTCCCCTCACTTCCTGTTCTGGTGACAACTCAGAAATTCAAGGGGTTCCAAACCTCCGAAACAAACAATCCGGCCCCATATGCACGTGGCTTTCTATAAGATTCCGTGAATTCAGCAGCGCGGTACTGGAATGTTCTGCCGAGGGACAACTTATTCTGTTCCATGATACCGCCACAACACCGGACGGACCCGGGACTCCCGCCAGCTCTTCGGGGGAAAGTGTCACCCGGTCACATGACCTTTCCTGACCAATGGAGGGTGGGCACTGCCAGCGTTCCGGAATAACGGACCGCCAATATCATTCATTTTCCGCTCCGGTTGCCCCGATCTGGGATCCGAACGTCGCTGAAGACGTGTCCGGGTCCAGTTACGTCATTTATCGCAGTTTCTTGGGATTGAAGGGACAAAGGACGGGAGCGGAACATTATCGAGCCGTGGGATTAGGTCATGTTGGCACGTCTGATTTTGGCAGAACAAAATGCTTCTCTTGCTCCTTTTTTTTTTTTAGCGTGTGACTGTTTTTTCCAGCGATGCGCGTCGGCGTCCCGGCTGGTTATTTGTAACACGTTGTTTCCTTTTATCCCTTGTGCTCCGTTCTTAAATAAACCATTTTCACACTCGACTGTATGTTCTGCCACCAGGTGGCGACGTGTGTAAGAGCGCCAATGTCTGACTCCACCATGGGGGCATGGGGCCCAGGACGTCTTGTAGAGGCGTGGCTTCGTTGGCCACAGTAACCAATCGAATTCCAGCTACAAGATAAACATTGGAACATTGTAACTGGTGAACCATCAAACATTCCATGCACCGGTCCTGTCTAAGGGCGCAACAGAAGTCACCGGCGCTCGATGATGTGTGCAAGAAGTAAAAGCACTTTTTATTCAATCGTCACATGCGTCATACAGCCAACGTTTCGGGGCCACGCAGGGGCATAGTGACTTCTATTATGGACTGTATCTGACACGGCCCCATCCGTGTTGTCACTTCAAGCACCAATCTTTCATTCAAGGTCTGTGCGCTGCACGGAGTGCCGGGGATTTTGTATTATCGAGTCCTGTCTAAGGGGACACATAGTTTCCATGACCTTTGTCAGCCAGAGAAACATCTTCCGTGCGCCCCTCTGCTCCTAGTTTCACTTTGATACCAAGGGCTTGTCTTCCCCGACTTTGTGACTAACCCCTCCCACAGGCTATTCCTCTGGCCAATGAGAGCACTTCAGTGGAAAGTAAGGTTATCATAACTGGAAAAGGAGATGGTCAAAGAAGAAATAGTTTCAGAAGGGCCCAAGATGGGTTTTGTGGCCGAGTAGGAGCTCACAGTGTGCAGTGACATCAGAGGAAGAGACTGGAGGGGAGGACGGAGGTCAGATATAAGACTGAAGAGGAAGGACGGAGGGCAGATAGAAGACTGAAGGGAAGGCCAGAGGTCAGATAGAAGACTGAAGGGAAGGCCAGAGGTCAGATAGAAGACTGAAGGGAAGGCCAGAGGTCAGATAGAAGACTGAAGGGAAGGCCAGAGGTCAGATAGAAGACTGAAGGGAAGGCCAGAGGTCAGATAGAAGACTGAAGGGAAGGCCAGAGGTCAGATAGAAGACTGAAGGGAAGGCCAGAGGTCAGATAGAAGACTGAAGGGAAGGCCAGAGGTCAGATAGAAGACTGAAGGGAAGGCCAGAGGTCAGATAGAAGACTGAAGGGAAGGCCAGAGGTCAGATAGAAGACTGAAGGGAAGGCCAGAGGTCAGATAGAAGACTGAAGGGAAGGCCAGAGGTCAGATAGAAGACTGAAGGGAAGGCCAGAGGTCAGATAGAAGACTGAAGGGAAGGCCAGAGGTCAGATAGAAGACTGAAGGGAAGGCCAGAGGTCAGATAGAAGACTGAAGGGAAGGCCAGAGGTCAGATAGAAGACTGAAGGGAAGGCCAGAGGTCAGATAGAAGACTGAAGGGAAGGCCAGAGGTCAGATAGAAGACTGAAGGGAAGGCCAGAGGTCAGATAGAAGACTGAAGGGAAGGCCAGAGGTCAGATAGAAGACTGAAGGGAAGGCCAGAGGTCAGATAGAAGACTGAAGGGAAGGCCAGAGGTCAGATAGAAGACTGAAGGGAAGGCCAGAGGTCAGATAGAAGACTGAAGGGAAGGCCAGAGGTCAGATAGAAGACTGAAGGGAAGGCCAGAGGTCAGATAGAAGACTGAAGGGAAGGCCAGAGGTCAGATAGAAGACTGAAGGGAAGGCCAGAGGTCAGATAGAAGACTGAAGGGAAGGCCAGAGGTCAGATAGAAGACTGAAGGGAAGGCCAGAGGTCAGATAGAAGACTGAAGGGAAGGACGGAGGTCAGATAGAAGACTGATGGGAAGGACGGAGGTCAGATAAAAGACTGCAGGGAAGGATGGAGGTCAGATCTGACATTTCAGCTTGAGTTTCGGGGGCAAAGATTAGCTGGACTGTCACAGGTGAAGCTCTATGAACTGCCTGACCTCAATCTCTGTCTCCAGAATTCGGCAGTAGTTGACATCCCTCATAGTCCATCTCCGGTCATACATGATTGCCCCTCCCACCCATCCCCATATTATAAAATAGCATTCTTCACACATCCACTGTCTATTTCCCTCACCGGTGCCAGATCTGGGGGTGGAGGCCGGTCATTCAGCCCCCCAGTGTCCTGTCTACAACCAAGAAGCTCAAAATGACCAAGAATGGACAGAAATGTGTGAGGCCAGGTACTGATGGTGGATGAGAAGATCCGGCTCCCAAATCTGTGTTCCAATTCATCCCAAAGGTGTCCAGTAGGGATGAGTTCAGGGCTCTGTGTAGGACACTTGAGCTCCTCCACCAAACTGGTCACCCCATGTCTGTATTGAGCCGGCTTTGTACACCTTAGTTTATTTACCTATAGTGCAATAACTTTGCCTAGGCTGAGATGATGTCATCATTGTGCTGCAGGCAGGAGGAAGCATTTCCTCAGTCTACCCCCCCCCC